GTGCTGGCACCACAGGCAGAAGCTTAACCTACTATGCCATAGCTCTGGCCACTTCCCCATTTCTTAACTCGGTTGTTTGTTTTGTTGTTGTTGAGTTTCTTGAACTCTTTTTTAAAAATTATTTTATTTTTCTGAAAGACAGAGTTACAGAGAGAGGTAGAGATAGAGAGAAAGAGAGAGAGAGGTCTTCCATCTGCTGGTTCACTCCCCAAATGGCCACAGCAGCTGGAACTGAGCCAATCTGAAGCTAAGATCCAGGAGCTCCTTCTGGGTCTCCCACTTGGGTTCAGGGGCCCAAGCCCTTGGGCTACCTCCCACTGCTTTCCCAGGTGCATTAGCAGGGAGGTGTATCAGAAGTGGAGCAGCCGGGACTCAAACCAGCACCCATATGAGATGCTGGCGTGTAAGCCCGGGTTTTAACCCACTGCATCACAGCGCCAGCCCCTTGAGCTTTTTATAGATTCTGGATATTAATCTTTAATCACTTGTATAGTTTGCAAATATTTTCTCCCATTCTGTCAGTTGCCTCTTCACTTTGATAAGTATTTCTTTTTGCAGTGAAGAAGCTTCTCAGCTTGATATAATACCATTTGTCAATTTTGGCTTTGATTTCCTGTACTTCTGGGGTCTTTTCCAAGAAGTCTTTGCCTATGGAAATGTCTTGCATGGTTTACACAATATTCGCTAGTAATTTGATGTTATTAGGTCATAGATTTAGGTCTTTGATCCATTTTGAGTGGATTTTTGTGTAGGATATAAGCTTAGGGGTCTTGCTTCATACTTCTGCATGAAAACACTTACCCTTGATAAATATTGTATTATCTGTGAAAAGTAATTTGGAAAATCCCCAGTTATGCAGTTGGCCCACCAACACATGCTGACTCAGCTACATGGGTCATTTTGAGGTAAATTTGTAGTGAACTGGAACCTCCATTCTCGCTTTGGGTGTAGTTCATGTCTCCATCTCTGGGGAACAATCTGTTCCTTTTAAAAATGATATATCAATTTAATAAATTATTATGCAATTGTTGACAAAAGTAAGGTAGATTGATATGTACTGATATAGTAGAATATAGCATGTACATTATAATTGCCAATCTATAATGTTAAATAAACTAAGCAATATGCAGAACATTTTTAAGTATTTTAAAAGATGATGTGTATACACACATATGTTTTATACATGAACAGAGTACCTCTCAAAAGATAGATAAATTCTATAGGCTTCCAAAGAAGAATGATAGCATGTGATTGTAAAGACAAAGACATAAACAACTTCAATTTTATCATCCTGTGACACTGCTTGGAGACTTTGTTTATATTAGAAAGTTAACACAGTAAATCCAAGTATGAGTTGCAAGGTGCAATATTTTTGTTTGGTAGATGCAAATTTTGGTCATACATGAAATATTTTACTGTATCTGAATACTATTTTTAACACTGGCACTTATTTTTCTTTCTAAATTGTTGTTCATTTTAAAGTTAAATACAACAAGAGGATTTTAGCCTTTCCTGATTATTATGGGGTTGTTGGTGAATGATTTTGTACATGGGGTGTTAAATGATCTGCTCTGGGTGTGTGATACTCTGTGTGCTTCCGGCTTCTAATCAGAATATGAAAGCTCTTTTCAGGAATTATTTTCATTTTTCTCCACACCAGATTTACTTTGAGGAACAATTTAATCAACACTTGAAACCAGACGCCTTTGGGGCTGGCCATTCTAGAAGACTTTGGGTGATACCAGGAGCATCCACCTTAGTAATCCTACCGTCATACCATTCCCTTTTCTAACAACAAGAAGCTTCTTGCTTATAGTACTGTGATTCCTGGATGACGCCTTTTTATTCTAGAGATGAAAGGGTTAACAGACCAGTGCTGTGGGGGCAACATCTTGGGATGGTGAAGCCTCTGCCAGAGAGAGGAGTACTGACGGGACTCCTCCCCATTTTGGTCAAGGGGAGGATTGAAAGAACCCAGCAGGGGACAAAAAGATCCTGAAGTACAGCAGAGTGCTCCTCCCTGCTAGGAAAAGGATCTGACAAGTGGAGACCAGGAGCAAGGCCTGTGAGGGACCCCCTCATTTCTTCCTAGGGTGGAACCTGATTTCTTCCCAGCGGGCAGGGGTGGGCATCCGCTAAGCAATGGCACAGGAAGGCAGAGCCACTTCACACAGCTGATGGCAGGTTGTTCTCTGTTCACTCCCCTTGCAAAGCCTGACATCCTCTGATTATCAAGGGTCTGCTACCTACTTTCTGGGGCTCCATGTGTGGAGACATGGTCTCATTGCAGAGCTTCCCAATTGAGGAACTGTGGCAGGTGCCAAATGGATTTCAGCTGTGCCAATACATTGTGATGGCCCTTCCCCCTGGGGGGCCAGGAGTCCTGGGCCATGCACGGCCTCCCAGGTACCCCAGTGTGACACACAATTATTATTTTGTACAGGTGCCATTTTGCATAAAAGACTGAGAACTCCCCCAGCGGCAATGACAGTACTGTACCTGGCAGTTTGGGAGAAATGAATCTGTTACGTGTAGATAAAGAAAAAGGTGGTTTGACCTGTTTCATTACCTGGTGAAATTATTTTTTGTGGCGCTATTTGTTCCGGATTAATCTGTGGGCTTTGCAACTCGGCATCCTGTGGGGACCACGTAACTGGCAGAAAATGAATTCCCTTGTGATGTGATGATCAGATCCTCCAAGCCTCTTCACTCTCTTGCTGTGAAGTGATCACAGATACAGCAGCGAAGTTCCTGTGGTGGTTCTTTTCCATAGGGAAACAAAGGCAAGGCTTGGAGCCCTGTGAGGCTTGCTATCTAGGAGATACCATATAAAGAACGTTTGGGCCCCTGTTTCTGGGGAGACAGCACCACCTGTGCTCAAGGGTGGTGGTGGCAGTCTGCAGTCATTGACAACGCTGATGTGAGTGATGCCCAAGTACAGTGGCTGATCCAACCATCCAAGTTTCATTCACCCTCTACTGAGGCTTCATGCTCTGTTCCCCTGTGTAATAACTGAAGTACTGGAGGCATACAGGAGTAGGGGCTGGAGCACAGACTGTGGTCTGTAAGGGGTAAGTGAGTAAGTGTTGATTGGATGTCTTCGGGACCAGGCTCCGAGCTACCGTGCTGGGCACACAGGACCTGGCACGTCAGTGGGGAAAGTTCCTGTAAAGGACAAAAGAAATTCTCGTAGACAAAAGTTGAAAGCTTTTGAAAGTTACTTAAAGGAAATGTATAATAGCATCTGTCTTCCATGTCAGCAAATGTGTTAGGTCTAATTCTCCCTGTACTCTGGGAGCTTGCCTCTGACATCTCCAGCGCCTGGGGCAGGAATACACATGAAGTCCCTCATTTGTTCAGACATTCAGGAATACAAAATAAGCTGGCAGCTAGTAAGTTAGACTGTGTTCCCATACTTAAAAATATATAAACGAATACTCATAAAGATAAAATTGAAAAATGTGTGAAGCTGTAGTTTTTACATGACCATAAGTTGGCAGATATCAAGGATTAGTGAAATAAAACTGATTTTTAAATTTAACTTTCTAAGTATTAATGAAATCTTATTATTCTTGTAAATAATACTTGACATTTCTAACATTCAACTTCATCCTAGTCACCAACATAAAAAAAAAAACCCTAGGCTGCATACATTTAGGCCTATATAGATATCAGTTTAAGAATAATAGGAATTGTTAAATATTGTACCATGTTCCTTGGCTGATATGTATAATTGTTGCAAATATCGTGTTACTTCTTTAAAAAAATTTTTTACTTAATTTTTTTAATGATTTGAAAGGCAGAGATATGATCTTCCATCTACTGGTACTCTCACCAAATGTCAGCAACAGTGAGGGGTAGGCCAGGCTAAAGCCAGCAGCCTTGAACTCAATCCAGGTCTCCCACATCTGTGGCAAGAGCTCAAGTACTTGAGCCGTCAGCTGCTGCCTCCCAGCGTGAGTGTCAGCAGGAAGCTGGATTGGAAGCAGAGCTGGAACTGAACCCAGGCGCTCTGATACGGAATGTGGCCACCCAAGTGGTATCTTACCCACTGTGCCAAGCACTTGTCCCTCAAAACATGGAAGTTATGTAACACTTCTTGAGTATCTCCAGGAACAGGAAGAGAAGCAAGGAAACTGATGAGTAACTCGCCTGGGAAGTGATCATTTGTTATGTAAGAATCGCTCCATTCATGCCAACGGGAGGGGAAAGAGCTGACATGCTAAGTCTTACCTATACTTACCAGCTGCTCAAACCCTCTGCCACTCCAAAACACCATCCTCTGACATCCACGACCACCACCCGACCCATAGACCTTCACTGGGCACCTGGAGGCAAAGACACAGGGCAAAAATCGAGAAGCTATGGAGAAGCGTTTTCTTGGGGCCTTAGCAGTGTTAATTACTGGAGTGGATGTTTAGGATTATGAGTGGGCTTTGCCAGCATGGACCACTGAGGGGCCTGGGCAGACAAGAATAAAGTTGCATTTGTGTATTTTTCAGTGTTGAGCTGTGTAAACCATGGGGCTCAGGGCAGGAATTCCTTCTGCCTGAGTCTCCTGATAGTGCTGATAATTCCTATGCAGCAGGCGCCTGGTGAGGAGTTCTTGCTGCCTTCTGGTATCTGACTTTTCCTAGCCCTGCCCAGCCCAGTTCTGGCTACAGTTCTGGGCCAAGATCCTCTTCGGACTGAAGGGTCCTCTGAAGATACCTGGCCTGCTCCACGGGTAGTTTCTGTCCCAGTCGGTTCTCAGGGTGGTGTGGAGTTGGGGTTGGCATACAGGCTGCACAGTTGGCCTGGGAGAAGAGTGTCCTTCCTTAGCTTGCCTAAGGCCTCAGGCTGGCGGCCTCGGGCAGGTGCACACTGGCGTCTCTAGGCAGCCTGTGCCTGGGTACTGTCACAGGCTGGGCTTTGCCTTCTGGGTCTTAGCCACGTCTGACCTAGCCTTCACCCTATGTTCCTGACTTCATTTCCCATCTGATGTGATTTTTCCCTCCCAGATCCTGAGCTCCATCCCCCACCTGATAACTTCACTGGGACTCCCGATTCTCTGCCAGCTAACCAGGGTTGCACCTGTACCCTCCAACCCCACCCCTGCCAAGGACACAGGGAAGAAGATGCATGAAGAGCTTTGAACTTCTTATTCCTGAGACTCTGAAAGAATGTGATGGAAGTTTCCAAGGAGAAGCATGCAAACAATTTTTAATGAGAGGATACGTGAGTAGATTGTAAGGGCCTCCCAACACTTTGGGTGGGTATTCATGTCACTGAGGGCCACCAGTAGGATTTCCAAGAGCAGCTCAGGGTCTCTCTGGTCACCACAAATATGTCTCCCAATGTGAAAAGGTTCCAAGGCTCTTATGACGAAAACATGAGACTAAGTGACCCCTCTCCCTCCGACTCGTTGGTCTTCTCCATACATTAAGCTTTGCGCCTGGTGAAAGGAGGTGCATCTAAAACACATCCACAATGGATTTGAATGATGCTGTGATCCGACTGTTCTCGAGGATACCCATGTCTCTGGTTTCACAGATGTTTTATTTTTAAACCCCCTTAGCCAAAAGCATCTTCTCACTGAAGCTGCAGATTCATTTCAATTCAATATTTCACTTTGGACAATTGCTTGACTTCGTTTAGCACTGCACGCTGGGACTCCAGCTCCCCGGGCCCCACATGCTTCCCTTCCATTAGCATCAGGGGGAGCTGCAGCAGACAGATGGAGGCCAAGGGGAAGGCGGACCCCCACGACTCTGCACTGTGGCAGCAGCGATTGGCGCAGAGCAGAAAGCTGGTGCACGCTAATAGTTGTAAATGGTGCTTTACAAGCCATATGCTGCCTTAGCCCGTGTTTACATGAAGACACAAAATATCTCGCTATCAAACAAGGCCAGACACAACACTAAACGGCAGGAGATAGCCGCAGCAAGAGGCTGTGTCTCCTCCATCCGTGTGCTGTTGCCCGGGTGTTTAGTCTGGCAGACATTCAGATCGGAAGGTCACTGCAGAGTAGTGTGACAATAACATGTGTCCCGACTGGTGGACAGCTTCAGACTGTACGAGGAGGGTCTCTCTGCATCCCAAAGTAAAAAAAAAAAAAAAAAAAAAAACAAAAACAAAACAAAAAAAACACTGGGGATTCTGCTGCCGGCCTGGATTATTTCTCCACAAACTGGTTGAGGCCCCGAGGCCGAGCCCAAGTCACCCCGAGGGCTGCTCTGTTTAAGGGCCTCATAAAGCCGAAAGCGGTGGGGAGCAAGCTCCATCTGTGAAAAGATGTGGCTGAGACAGCAGAGGCCTAGCGTGCCTGCGAGGGCCTGTGCGAGGTGGGGAGGGACCTGAGGACGCAACCTGCAGTGGCAGTGGGTGACGGGCCCAGGCATGGCTGCCACATTTCCTCTTCTGCCTGAATCGGTGTCTGCTGACTCTGGAAGGCTCTCAGCTGTTACAGGGGAGGTCGTGCCGGGGTTCTAGCTCAGGTTATCTGCGGAGCAAGTGTCTACTGAAAAGCCCTGTCTCAGGTGGCAAGCCCTTCGTCTGTGGCCTGGAAGTCCTGCCCCCACTACCCCACATTGGCGGGCAGGGTGCTAAAAGCCTTCTTGCATGTTCAGAGAGAACTCTGTGGGAGGAGGTGAAAGTGGAATTTCAGGCCAGAGACTCTGCAGAGGGCCCTGTGTAAGCTGCAGCTGGGAACCCATGTTTAGGCCGGTTGTCACTGGCAGACCCCCTGTGGCCGTCTAATGAAGGACCAGGAGCTTGAGCCTGATCCTGAACGAGTGAGACCTGGTTCAAGTTCCACCTCCCAGTATCTTTCTCGCTGTGCAACTTGGGACAAGTCACCTAACCTCTCTGAACTGTGGTCTCCTGAGTCCTAGAATAGACGGTCGATATGGGGAGTGGTCCGGCTCAGTGCTGGGTGCTTATCCTCCCTCTCCTTGGAGCAGGCAGAGGCCCCTGGACCCCTGGGCCCTGTCTCTGTCTGAAGTACTCATCTTGCGTATGACCCAACAAACGCTCCCTCCCTCCCCACCCCCCCCACCAGGAGGCAAGCAGCACCAGCTGCAGTGAAATTCAAATGAGGGTTCTGCTTCTCCTTGAGGACAGGTGTCACTTAGGGGTCCGCCATCAGGTGAGCTCAGGGTCCCTGGCCTCTGCTGCAACTTGGGTCCCCTCACCACCCCCATAGTGGGCCAGCCTACCATCCATCTGTGGGCAGCAGAGCTGGGTTTTCTATCTGTCTGTGTGGTACTTGGCTTTGTCAGTTGACATCATCTTGTTGATATCCCTGCCTTGCATGGGTCCTACCCACCCTGGAATTTCCAGACAAGATGGGAAAGGAGGTGAAAAGAAAGGGGACTTTCAAGCACGTGACCTTGGTCGGAGCACTGGCTCTGCCCATTGCTGGCTGTGCAATGTTAGGCAAGTCATCCACACCCCAGCTTCCGACATTCTAGTCTGTAAGATGGGAATCCTGACTCCTGCTTGGCAGAAGCATTATAAATATGGAGGGCAGTGGGGCCAATGCTGTGGTGTAGCAGGTGAATCAGCCCATATAGGAGCCAGTTCAAGTCCCGGCTGCTCCACTTCCTATCCAGCTCCCTGCTATGGCCTGGGAAAGCAGTGGAAGATGGCCCAAGTCCTTGGACCCCTGCATCCATGTGGGAGACCTGGAAGAAGCTCCTGACTCCTGGCTTCGATCAGCCCAGCTCTGGCCATTGCGGCCATTTGGGGAGTGAACCAGCAGATGGAAGTCCTCTCTCTCTCTCCTGCCTCTGTCTTTCAAATAAATAAATAAATCTTTCAACAAAAATTATGGAAGGCAGTGAAGTTTTTGGCATAAGGGAGGCATTCAGTGATAATATCCTTGTTATTTCTAGCAATGTTGTCAGGTGCCCCCCCCCCCCTTTTAAAAAAAAAGTTTTATTTATTTGAAAGGCAGAATGACAGAGAGAGAGAGAGAGAGGGAGAGCAAGAGATCTTCCATTCTCTGATTCACTTCCCGAATGCCAACAGCTGGGGCTGAGCTAGGCCAAAGTCAGGAGCCAGGAATCCCATCTGGGTCTCCCATGTGGGTAGCAGGAACTTTGAGCCATCATGGGCTGCCTCCCAAGTATATTAGCAGGAAGCTGGATTAGAAGCAGAGGTGGGACACCATCTCAAGCACTCAGATGCAGGGTGTGGGCCTTCCAAGCCACACCATGATTAGACCAGTGATACTCAAAGTGTGGTCCCTGAACCTTCCTTGTCAGCATCACCAGGAACTTGTTAGAGATGAAAATTCTCAGGCCACCCCAGACACCTGCTGGATCAGAAAGCCTGGAAGTGAGGCCCAGAAATCCATGTTTTCAAAAGCCCCTGGGGAATTCCAATGCAGGAAAGAGTTGTTGCAGAACCTCTGAAGTAGAAATAGTTTTTGGAAAAACCTCTTCTGTGGTATTTCTTTTGCCTGGGCTTGCTTCCTCACTCCTGGATGTCATTTGTGAAGAATTGCATACTGAAGGGCCCAGGAGGCCAGGGCAGATACTGTCAGCTGGGTTGGGTACCATTTATTCCCGTGGATGTGAGACAGAGGGCTCTGGGATCCCTCAAGTCCCACCCTTGACTGGTGCTTTCAATCAATGTTCCTTGGGCAGGCACTGCTCTTCTTCACTCACTGGGGAGCAGGCGTGTGTCACCCCTGCATGGATCTGTCTTCCTGCCACCTTACCATAGCTCCTTCCTCACACCTTGGCCTCACTCCCTCTAAGAGGACTGGCCAGAGCCTGGACGATGGCCATGAATGCGATTTTTCCAGGTATGCTGTGGGAACGGCTTCTGCCAATGGATACTGCCAATTGGCCAGACCAATGCTTTGCCTGAAGCATTGACTGCATTCTTAGTTCCATACAGTGGCTCCAATCTTTGGGGGAAACCCTATGCCTTGGTGCTGCCGTGTTCTGTGCAGAGTCTTCTGGAAGCTGTGCTAACTTCTTTCACATAGTTTGTTACCATCCTGTTCACTGAATTCTTGACTGGGGCCCAGCCAGGCAGCTCACACAAACAGCACCCCACATCTAGCCCTGTGACCAGCCATCATGTCCGAGTGCCTCCAAGGCCCAGTCATTCCCAAGGCGCTGCACAGTGCATGGAGCCTGGGAGCACAGAACACTTCAGACAGCTCCCCCGAGTTTTGCAAACATCCAGGTCCTTTGTGTCACAGCTGGGTGCCACTCCAGTGCGAGTTGCATGGTGTGAGCCCTCAATGCACTCCATCTCTTTTTGGAAATGGCGTGGTTTTGGAATGAGGCAGGTCTGGGTTTGAGTCTGGCTCTGCTGCTTTCTAGCTGTGTGAGCTGGGAAAAGTTACTTAACATCTCTTAGTCTCAGTTTCTGTCAACTGGAGATAAGACCCCTTGCAAAGCTCCTGGGAAGACTTCAAGGATGCCCTAGTAGGGTGCATGGCACACGGGAGGTGATCCATAGCTGTAGCTGTGGTTGTCTGGGGGGGTTTGTCTCTGGAAAGGGTATCAGGGAGAAAATCTGTCTCATGTATCATGTAACTTTGGAAGAACCATTTCAAGATTTTCATGGAGGAAAGATGAAAAGCTTTCAGAAGCAGAAGGCAGAGGCCCTTGGAGCAATGCTTGAGTTTCTTGTTTCATCATCCGTCACAAGGTACACTCTGAGTGACTCTCATAGGGTACTCCTTGCACAGCAGGTGAGGGCTGCCGTGCCCAGCAACTGTGCCCCCAGGGCCACGGCCAGCCTGCCAGCTCACTGCGGACCATCTCAAGACGCTGTGAGTGGGGCTGTGTGTTTTCACCAAGCTGTGGCTGGCTGAGCAGAGTTTGAAGAACTGGTTCTTGACTTCTCGCTGTGATCTCACAGTTCAGGTGGCTTTGAGCCCTGGGTGGTGGATATAGCTGGCTGGGTGAGAGGCCGGGGTGGGAACAATGTCTGCAGAGGACCCGGGACGGTCCAGGGGAGGGGACTCTGCACACAGAGATGTGCCACTGCAGCTCAGATGGAAGGCTGTTCAGGTGGGGGCCTGGCCGGGGGTGGGCCTGGGAGACACAGCAGTCCAGGGTGTCTACTGCTCGTGAGTAGACTCGGCAAATCAGGAACTTTGAAAGCAGGGTTAGTGGTTAGGTAAAATCAAATGAGCTAGTCTTAAATATCAAGCATAATAAGCTTGTAAAACCTCTTAGATTTTAAAAAAATGAAGATGTTAAGTTTACTTG